ATTCTTGATGCATAATTTTTTTTTGTTCTATTCCCTAATATTGAAAATGTAAACATGTCAATTTTCGACAAACAACGACATTCCATTTTCTGTTTATTCCTATTGTACCTATATGTTCTTATTCATGTGCTAAATGTTTTTCGTTGCGATTGCATAAGTTCACGATGGGGGAGACCCAAATAGATATTACATGTCATTTTGAAATTGGTTTGGTGTCGGATGAGCAATCGATTTCCATACAATGAGCAACAAAAACATGCAATGGAAACAAGTATTTTTACGAGCATTAGGATTGCTTCGATAAATCAATCTCTTTCAATTATCATAAAATAAAATCGAAAGGCTCAATGGCGCCGGCAAAAACAGCCTTGAATCAACATCACATATGTACACACGATGACGTTGCAAGAAAAGAAGAAAAACTTCAGCTACCAGAGAAACAAATATCGACGCAACAGCAGTATTTTTCGTATTATTTTTCCTGTGATGAGCCAGTTCGAATATTGAACGAGTGATGGAAAAAAAAATATTCGGGAAAAAGACTTGAATATAATTTTCAGGCTATTACTCCAAGTCGCAAATGAATAATTAATACGAAATAGAGCCGAAGCATGAAATTCTGTGAAAATTATATCGTCACTTATCTGATTTTTGAAATAATGTTAAAGATAACAAGAAACATCGGCAAGCCTGTATTTTTTTCTTTCAAATGTTAAATAAACCTACGAATATCATGATATAAAATATAATCAGTGCTGCTACACCTATTTCTGGTGTAAAAAAAACTGCCAGAGAATTTTTTCCATTCGTTTGTTTCGTTTGTTAATAAGAATTGGATTTAAATAGACACTGTCAGATATTACAGCCCACACATAATGGTCGCACTAGCAATGGCCATAAAATTATTCATCCATTTATGGCCTGTATCGTTCGGAATATGGTGAGTGCGAGCGAGTGAGAGAACACATTCTTTCGGCCGCATGAAATGACGATGAAAATACATTTTCAAGCTAACCATGGCCATCAAGTAGAATGAACCAGGCTGATTTTATAAACTGTCTCATGATTCGGATGTCTACGGTAAAATCTTGAAAGGCTTGCTGAAGATGCATCTTATCCAGTGAAATAGTTAAAATGTCACATAATTTGTGAATTTTATATTCTGGTTGAAGAGTGGCTCAAATCGTAAGCACTAAGCCTCGGCCACCACAATTTACATAAATTAAATTCCAATCGGCTCTTTCTCAATCACGGCAAACGAACTCTCTGAAGAAAACCAGAACTCTGTTTTTTGTTTCTTGTTGTAATCACGAGGCCGGAATACCGTGAATCGGTTTGCATATTTATAAAGAAAAAACGAAGCGAGCAGCGAAACGCACAAAGTAAAATAATAAATAAGTATAAATTATTTCAATAATAATCGATAAAGTGTGGTACAAGTTGCGTCCCTATTTGAAGTTGTAAATGTGAGGCGTTCGCTGTGGCTGTCGTTGACCAATGCGGTTGAGAAAAGAGAAGAACAAAATAACAACCAACTCCGAAGCCTTGGATAATTTACATAATTTATTAGATTTTTATCACTTTCGAAAACGAAAAATACAGGCACGAAAGGCGAGGAAAAAAAAGAGTAAAAACAAGGTCCGAGGGCAAGAAAATGAGCGTTCACACTCCTCATACGAACACGAAAAATCCGAAAATATCGGCTTCATTAATATATTTTGATTATCTATTTGTCGTTCATTTCTTGTTTCTTCGTGTGTTCTTTTAAGTCCCTCCTGAAAATGGCCTACGTATCGCGTGTTAGTGTATGTGCATGCACATAAAACTCGTTTATTAGCTTCAACAATGTTCAAGAAAAGCACCATTAAAAAGTTTCTTTTGTGATAGTTAATCGTACAAAAATGTCTATAATTTATCGCGGTTGGCTGTTGTTTTTTTTTTTTGGTTCTTTCTCCGTCTTTCGAGACTCTTTTTTCCATCGAATTCAAGCCGCTGCAACCATATCTAATGACGGTGCACGAGCGAAATCTCATCCACAAAAGAATTCTTAATTCGATACCATTTATTCGTTTCAATGTTTCGGATTCAATTCCATTCTGAGTAGGTTATAAATTGTGATGTCACTTTGTGAAGAAAGAGAGACAGAAAAAAAACAGCCCAACAAAAAATCTAATCCAATAAGAACATAAACGAGCTATTTTTTTGAATTCATAATCGAATGTACTCTATTTTTTCTGGGGAGTGACTAGCATTTATGACCGTTCCATCGAATGTTTTCAACGAGATCGTGTGCCCTGCTTTATATGATCCGAAACAGAAATTTATGAACGTGAATTTCCGCATAATGAGATCAATTCGGTGGAGCTCGACCATTTTTCCCAGCTGAAATCTGCATATCAAAAGTTTGCATTCGATAAGGAAAAAAGTTATTTCGTGTTGTACGTCTTTATTCTGGTAGCGATCAACAACTTAATCATATATATTTTGCCATAAAATTATTTAATCGTGCGGTTTATCTATATTTATACCGTAAGCATAATGATAGCGTTCTCAATTTTTTCGATTATTTTCGCCCCCATTTTGTCGATGTGCGCTTTGTTTGTTTGTGCTTGTGTTTGCATTTGGCCGAAACGAACAACATTTTCCCGGGGTAATAACAAAATTTATGAATTTTTCGGGCGCATATCAGGAGCTGAAAAGAAAATTGCTACCAGTTCTGGATGAGAAAATACTTCTATATTAGTCGACAACGGATGGCAAGGAGTTTCGATAAAATTTTATTGGAGTTGTCTGTGCGTAATCATATCTCGACGATGTTCGTTGCCGCGATGCGTATAAAATTTATAAAAAAAGGTCTTTACCGAACAAATGTTATTTTAAAGCTAAAATACAAAATTACACAATTCACCGTAGTCACTCGGGCCCACGATACGTTATCCTTGGCGGCAATAAAAATGTACGCATTTATACGAGAGCGAGATACACTTCTTGTACGCGTGCTGAAAATGAAAACAGCAACCCTATACGGACACGCCAAAAGGATGTTACATTTTTATAAAAGATAGCATGGTGCTTTTCTCTCTCTCTCTCTCTCTTTCGCTCTCTCTCTCTCTCTCTCTCTCTCTCTCTCTCTCTCTCTTCTCGACTCGGGCATTCCATTTGCACAAAGTCGAAGCTGAAAAATATATTCCAAATTTGAACCTGTTTTGAGCTCAATACAAATTTTTATGTTCAAATATGGTGACTCATAAAATGCATAATAAACGCAATATATTTTCGCCTTAAAATCGCACGCAAATGACGAGCACTGGAAGACACTACGCTCGAAACACTGAAAAGCGAAAGCAAATAAAACCAAGTACTAAAAAATCTAATCAAACACTTGACAAAACAGCAACGAATTTGCATAAAACAAATTTTCGTTTCTTAAAGAACGCGCGTTTTTTTACTCTTTTAAACCAGCAACATTGTTGCTCCTGTCGTTCTGTTGTTGTTTTTGGGTGGATCTGCGTTCATTTGCAACTGCAAAGAGTAGAATATAAGGAACCAAATAATGGACCGAACGACCAGATTTTCTGGTTACAATTAACGCGGAAATTGTCATCAGATTCACTGATCTTCTCTGGTTTTCGAATCCTGAAGTCCTTATCGAATGCCAATAAATTTGCAGCGATTCTGTTCTGAATTGCATCAATATAAATAAAAGTTCATGTTTGTTTGTTTTTCCTTGAATGATTGTGGCGCGTTCATTACTGGAAATAATGGGCGATTTTGTGCCATAACATCATGATTTGCGAATGATTTATCTGCATTTCCATTAATATTATCGCGAATCAGTTGGAAAAGTGGCAGTTTTATTTAATAACATATTCGTTGCCTGTTTGTAATGACGACCGAGCGACAGACAGAGAAACAATTGTGCATACGGGTTGCAGCAATACACGTAAACACGATTCGATTTATTAAATTATGTGGTAAAAATGGCATTCGTTTTTTATAGTTGTTAAGTGTTCATAAACATTGTATTCAAGTTCAATTTCGTTGCATACGCTTTTTAAAATAATGTTTGTTATTTTTGCTGATCGTCGTCTTGTTGGTTTTTTTCTGTCGTAATGAAGTGTGGTTAAAAAATGGTTTTTCGATGCATTATGCGGAATGGCTGTGGCGATTGAGCATGTAAAATATAAACTCAAGTTTCCTCAAACAAATGATTCTAGTGGCACCGGTATAACCGAGAAAGAAAACAAGAGAAATACATAGTTTATGATGCCCGAACCGTTTATTGAGTTCGTTAAATCCCCAAATCGTCATCTGATCACAGACATTTCTAATTAGAAATGAGAACATTATCGAATAAAGTTAATCAATTCGGAATGCTTTAAAAAAAGATAGCATTTGAATTGAAATGACGTTGCTTGTCGGTGCTCGGAATCAAAGTCGAAAACACATAGTGGCTCTGTGAATCATTAAATTCAAATTTTTTTCGTATTCCCTTCTGAACGACGAAACTTGAGCATGATGATGATGCTTTTTCATCTTTCCCATGAAAGCGGAATGCGGTGTATTACAAACACACATTTATTTATCAACGCCTTATATATAGCATTTCGACCGAAAGATCGTTCCCGGTCCCTATATATAATGGCTATGTGTACGACCATCGCTCGGAACGAATGCGACGAGAAGAGAGGAAAGAGAAAAAAAAACACACACAACACGTCGACGAATTCTCTTTCGCCATTTTCCCTGTGTGTTGTTATACGCGTGATCCGATGAAATTGAGCTGCCAAGAGCTAGCAATCACGCCGCGCACATTTACAACCCAACACCGCTGCCTAGCCAAACACAGCTCTCTCGCTTATATCAATGTGACCGACGACCAAATATATGTATATGTACATATGTATGTATACAAGTTTTGATTCGGTTGCATGAAGAATTTTTATTTTTCCAGTTGTTGTTTCTTGTGCACAGCGCAAACACTACATTTATTTCAATAAGAAAGACGTCGACGGTTCAACATTTCGTTTCTCCCTTGATTTTCCATCCAAAGAAGCATTTCGTCGCTACTTTTTTGTTTCGTTGTCATTATATTGGCGTTCTAATAAAAAAAATAGTTGCCATCAGTATCTTAATACTTGTTATTTGGGTAATACACGTTTCTCTCGAGTTCAGTCGTAAAATACTCTGGATTTTTCCTTTTTCATCAAGTGAAACTCCTTTCTCGAGTAAAATTTCTGAGATAAATTTAGAATAGATTCAAGTAAATTCCAAGAAAATTTCGTTGATTTGTAAAACTTTTATGTTGGTTTTAATCAGAAAAGGTGATTTTTCTTCGTTTTTTTTCCTAATTACCAATCAGATTTTGTAATTTGTGCAATGTGATTATTTCAAAACGTGAATTTTAGTATTGTGATTTCAGTTTTTACAATATTATCATTTGATCGTGATGGGAAAATTTGAATTTATAAAACATCTGTTGATAGAAATTATTCAAGCCCAACAAAAAAAGGCATTTATTATTATTGTTAGTTTCAACTAACTAAGCAAGCTCGTTTAAAAGCATTTGTAATCATAAGTTGAATAGAAAACACTAAAATCTTTATTGAAAATATTATGAAATGAATATCATTCCCAATTATTTGAGTTTAAATAAAATTTCTATCAATTGTTGCTCAAGTGTGTTAACAGATGTCCCATGAATTCAAAATATCTCTTCACATTAGTTTCAACAATTTTCATAATGTTTCTGTTCATTGTTTTCAAGATCGGAAATAAAGGAGATTGAGCTTAACATCGGAAAAAGTGCAATTTATTGATAAGGACAGAAAAAGTATTGAATTAAAGAGAATTGAATCAAACGAAAAAATATTGTGTGTAAAATTATGACATGCCGACTTTAACTATCAAACAAGGTAAGTCGAATAAGTATTGCACATAAAAAATTGTTTGGAATTTGGAGTAGAAATTTGTTAGTTTCTCGAAATACCTTTTTGGCTCGATATTCACCCTGTATGAGTGAATAGTGCGGTAATTAAATTTCAATTTGCGACCATATCGAATTACATTGGTCTCGAATGCGCCTTTTGAATAAAAGACGAGAGAGAGGGAGAGAGAGAGAGGAAAAATCCGTCCAAACAATATATCAACACACTCACCGTGTGTTGCATGTCATGGGCATTCATTAATGTAATCAAGGGAAATGGAAAAGGCGATGAGAAATATGGCTGAGGTCGACTGGCTTTTGTTTTCTATTCCTTTCGGAAGAAATTCAAATGTTTAAATCCATATTTCTTCTGCGTCGACAAAATGGCCAGCAAAAACTAATAAATAGAGTCAGCTCTCTATACGTGATGTGCTTACGTTTGCGAAGCCGAATGAATGCTACTTTTCTTTGTGTGAGTATTGAGAGAGAGAACGCAATAAAAAACATTTGTTGGATTATTTTGTGTGAAAATCAAAAGCTGCAATTTTATTGGCTTGACGAACATAAAATTGCTTTTTCTCTTAGCCCGTTTTAACGCGCGTTTTTCATGTTACCCCTCATGATGTCAAACGAAAAATTTCACAAACAAAAACATTCTTCGGAGCTCTCGCACACCCGGGGCCGCTAAGGAACGGAAAACGAAACAACAAGACTGGGCGAAAAAAGAAAGAAATATTATTGCTGCACATGCGAGCAATTCCTTTCTCTCGACTCGACATTTCCATTCGGAAAACACACAGCAGCCGACGATGTGTCATTAATATGCTACGCCATAGATATTATGTATCTAACCAAAAGTAAAATTCTTCAACGTAAACGTATTTTACGATTAGATCCAATCGCATTTTGTCCGAATCCCATTTCATCTTAACTTATTTTTCGTGTTTTCATTTGGAATAGTTGGCCAGCTATTCAAATTCCCGCATGTTTTTTCTTCATTTCGCTCTCTCCTCATCGCGCACGGAACGAATGTTGCTATCCGTATCGAAGGAACTTTGTATCACCCTCAAGGATCAGCCCAGCCACGGCAGAGTGAGAGTGAGAGTGTGTGAGCGAGCGAACGAAATGAAACCATCGTCGAAATTGGTTTGGGGTGTCTTTTATAACAAAATGGATGATAAAACACAAAGTGCATTACATCGCGTGTGCTTGTGATGGTTTTCGTGTAGTGAAGCCCGTGTTTTATGGCCATAGATGCTCACTGCGTAACGAAAGTTTGTCTTAGATTTATATTCAAATGGGGCGGCGGCGCAAAAGCATAAACATGTAGCATATTTTATTAGACTTTTGTGCACACCGACGTCGAGGACGACGATGGCAAATGGATGCCGAAGCGGAAAACGTTAAGAGAAGAACACACCAACCACATCGTCTCTTAACCTTTCCTGACATTTTCGTTACGAATTTTTATAGTTTTCGTTTCTCTCATTTCGGTTGATGTATTTTTAACAAAACCCATTCGAAGCGAGAAATTCCTTTCGGGAATATGCCGTTGGCTTTCTTTTGAAATGAAACCATCCCAAACCTAAGACGGTTATTTCGAGAATTCAATTTGGAATGAAATGGAAACAATAAAATGCAGCACTGCTGCCAAATACAATGGGATTTTTGGCTTTCGATTCAATTTCTCTGTAAAATTTGAAGTTTCATTTCCGACAAAAACTCATTTAAAACTCGTAGCAGCCGAAGAGTTTTCCTCTCTATCTCTCGCACTCTTGATCGTCCGTATTTTTTTTTTTCGAAGGTCACAAAATTCAAGAAAATTCCACTCGAATTCCCATTCCATTATTTCGCTTCTCTCGACTTTTATTATCTGTTACACAAATGTTGGAGCGAAAAGCAAATCATTTATTTATGTTTACTAGTTACAACTGATCCAATTTATGGGATTTTATTGCCTTCTTGCAATGCTGTTTGCAGCAGACAAAAGCAAATCCAAAGGAAACATGCAATTCGAACATTCATTTCCATACACTTTCATTCTACCTATTAATGGCTCAAGGTTTTTTTTTCTGCTCCGTTTTGTGCATGTCGGACTGTACAAAAAACGATCGTTATTTCACAGCAATGCCGACGTGCACACGAATTAGATAACAGTAATGGGAAAGAAAATAACAAAACATGTAGAAAAAAATTGGAGCAATATTCCAAATGAGTTTATGATTGTTTGTCTATTGTTATCCATTTTGAAAGTTTGAATCCTCACAATGAATGTTTTTCAAAGGTTTGCCTTTCATTTTTTTTTCTGCTTCTTCAAAAAGCAAAGCCATTTTGTGGGTAACTGTTTAGTGAAAGGATTTCGAACATGTAAAGGAGCATTTGAATTGAAAATCATCATGCAAAAAGCAAACTAATGATTTTATGACCTTAAAGAATGCAATTCTTCATTGCATGCTATGAAGCATTCTTGTTTACTTCAATCCGTTCTGTTTTCTTGGTTGAATTTTTCGACTCTGTGAATGTCTGTAACATCCGACATGAAACAGTTAAATCTTGAATCGTCATTAGTTAACAACTAAAAATAGAACATATCTAATTTACCAAAAGAGTTCAAAGCAACAGCAAAATTTATTCAACATGATCAATTGCAGGGAAAAGTTCATTCGCATTCGTGTACATATCAAAAACCGCAAAACAATGATCTATTCAATGAAAAAGTTCAAGGTTGAATGTGCATCATTCGCTTATCATCGTTCAAATGACACGTATTCAATCAAAAACCATCGAAGAGTTCATTTTGAAAAAAAAACGTCATCGTTTAAAAATCAAATCGAATAATTTTGATTGTTATTGCTTTTTTTATTTGAATTTTATTTAATAATGAGTATGAAGTTCATATAAAATGTGTGTGAGTGATTTTTTCCGACTTGTTATGCTTTATTATGGCTTATAAAATGGTGGACCATTTCATCAGTTCATGTATTGCCGTATAAAACAATTTAGTAGTTATATAATAATAAATGGTTTCCCGTCGCTGGCGCACTTTTGTTCGTTGGTGGAAATAGTGCAATCAGGTGCTCATTTCAGCAAACATCAATAAAATTATATGCACATATCGTTTAGTGTCTTTGGCGTGTGAGTGTATGCGAGTGCGCGCGCGGGTCCACGATTTTCAAATGGCGTAAAATATCGCGATCAATACGCAAATCGGTTAAGCAAAATGCTTAACACACTCGAACTTAAAGAATATTCTGATCTAGGAATCGATTGTGAGAATATTTTCACACTTTACTTCGGTATATTGATAGATGCTAAATGCTGAGCCATTTGCCTAGCGACCATCAAACTGTAATGAATTTATTGAAGCTATAACAATAAAATTTATTGAGCGTTTATAAATTTATTACCGGTGCATTTACTACAAAATATCCCCCCGTACAAATACGCCATTGGCGATGCTTTATTTACACAAACCATTTGCTACTCCCACAGCAAATATTTGATGTTTAGACGATTTGGCAAATCACCGTGTCTGGCTCAATGCAGCTAGCTGCTCAAACAAACTCTGTCGAACGAGTAAATATATCAATGGCCACTGATTATTGTTTGATCATTTAGCAAATATATATAAAGCATATGAAGTATTTCGATTGAAGTAAACGCTTTTCAAAGTAAAATTCTTTGTTTGTTTTGCCGTCGCAACATTTTATTTTCGATGTTGTTCGAGTGCAAATACTACTTCTTCTCAGCCTTCTCTTTTTTCCATTGAAATTGTGTTGTTCAGAGAACATTTGAGAACTAGCCAATATTTTTCATAATGGAAAAAACATGTTCTTCTGATGAAATTTTAATTCAAAAGATATCATTTTCTCCCAACACTTTGAAGCCTTTACATCGTTTATCGTTTAAATATTTTGAAAGAGTTGTGAAAACAAATATTTATATTTTTTTTAAATGCCTTCGAACTTTTTCCCCTAAACTGTTTCTCCCAACGATGTGTATTTGGCCGACGGATAGAATATTTCTACTAATGTTTTCCTTCCAAAAATATGACATGTTAGTAAACAAATGACGGGCGGCTTCCCTCGAAGCAGGCAAATTAAACGCGAAATGTCATTTAATTATTTATTAATAATTGAGTTAAAAGCATGTAGTGAAAATGATATGCGAAAGTGTGAAAAATAATTAAGTTACAACATTTTTATTGGTAATATAAGCCAGCAAGAAGCTATTAGGAAACAAAAAAAGTTAACCAACAAAATCGTTGTAACTCTTTTGGAACTAACGGGGAGAGAGAGAGAGAGAGAGAGAGAGAGAGAGAGAGAAAGAGAGAGAGAGTACATATGTGGTATCGGAGGAAGGAAATCAGTTCACTTAATGATTTGACTTATGGCATAATTGAAATAAAATGTAAAGACGACAGCAAATAAAGCGAGTGTGTCTGCTCACATAAAAAAGCTTCAATCTGTATTCAAACAACCGAGAACATTACGATAAAAACGCAGACGACATTTGCTTGTACTTGCTGCTTGCGAGAGTGAAAGAGAGTGCACGACTAAAAGTTCGAGTTAAAATGTGAATGCACTTAAATTACCATTTACAATCACACATAAACCGTCCGTCTATTACCCATTAAATTTACCTAAAAACCAATTGAATTATAACAATAAGGAATTTTCTCCTTTTTGCCAATTTTGCGCTGAATCCATTTCTGCCTCACAATCTTTTGCGCACACCACAGACTACCGAACCGAAATGATTTATTTATTGAGCAATGGCAAACGCGAAATAAACGATTCCGTTTTTAGTGAATGAATGAAACAAAAACGTCCAATGAAACAACCGGCAAACAACTATAATTGACACTAAATTTTATTTTTGTTTTATTTATTTTATCAATAAATAAAACATTTTATTACTACGTATTTCCAATAAAGAACTGTTTATGATCTATGTATTACTTCAACGCGTTTGACTACGCACGTTCAC